GACGAGGTGTAAGTCTGGCGTTAAACTTTGCGTACCTGTGATTACACAAGGGCCCGCAAGAGTCCACGTTAATTTTAGTCATTGTCCCAAGTCCGCAAGAGTCCACACAGACCCCTTTGCATGACGTATGTATCTGCACAGGGCAGGAGCGTGCATGCTCAGTGGTCACGTGTACGATCAAGATATGTCGATCCTGTGCATGTACGCAAGAGTCTTCCAAGCAGACTCTCATGTATTACAAAAGTATAATAACAGCTACGCATCTGTGGTTGTCAACAGAGGATAATCAAGGCTTAAGCAACAGCGTCTTGCTGTTTATTGCACGTTTGATTTACAGGCGTTGGTAGCTTTCCTGACTTTACTAAAATGGATAAACAAAGTCACAAACAAGTAGTGATCAACCAAGCAGTTAATCAAGCTCCGAAATAAACACGAGTCCAAATTCTCTTTGCTTTTAATATTTCCAAGCAACACATGGTGTCACAATAATTTGTCCCGTTTTTTTTTTTTTTTTAACTATTTAAATCCCTCTCACACTCAAGCGCGACAGTTGTGATGTTAGTTAAGTCTGAGGGCCCTATAAATCTGTCAGGACAGTCGTCATGCCTCCACATGGCCAGACTTTCCCACGTTTCATTCTGCTCAATCTGCAGTACTGATGTTGACATCAGTCATCAAGGAACAACAGACGCTAATTTAACCTGCATTTTCACTGCAATGTTTCTGGTATAGACACAGAATGAAAAGAACAAAGTGAGCATGTTAGTTTAAGATGCTGTAAGAGAGAGATGAGATATGCAATGGGAATATAAAAGCGTAAGAGTTTGGCAGGTTTGCTTCCTCACTGTTTGTCAGAGCAATGCTAACTGATTTCATGCTAAGCTAAGCTAACTAGCTGTTGGCTGTGTCATTATATTTAGTGTACCAACGACGGAATGCTATTAATCTTCTCATCTAACTTGCCCAGCGTATTTTCCAATGTCAAACACTGTTGTCAACACTATTACCCTCCTTATGAGGAATAAGCAGCTTTGTGATGCCCCCACACCTTTAAAATAGGTGGTTTTAAACAACGTATGACTATGGCTTTGTTTTTCCTGAGATGAGAGTCCAAGCACATCTTATATTTTCACTTGGATTCATTCATGTTCTCACCCTTTAAAGGTGTGAAAACCCTGGTTAATAAAAAAAAAAGCTAATGAAAGCTTTAGAATAAAGTGTCAACTTTGCCCCCCAGAACATCCTTATTTCCGGATCTTTTGTATCTGAGTCTTCTTGAGTTATTACAGAAATAATGGGCTGCCCCCTGGGGCATGTCTAGATTCATATTTGCTGCCACCATCCTGTTATTGCTCGAGGAAAGGTCTGTCACCAGTGTTTACCGTTGCCCTTTAATGCTCACCCTTTGTAGCTGTTAAGCTGAATCTAATGAGATTTTCATAGCCTCCTCTAAACCGGGCAAACAGAGATTGAGGTTATTGATGAAGCTGTCTCTCTGGATTGCAGTACAGTCCTTGGCCGCCTCCTGGAACCAAACCCTGAGCAATGCCACAGGCCAGTGGAGCGGTGAGTTGGACACGTTTGCTCTTCTCAGATGTGTAAAAGCTGATTCCCCACACACAAAGTCGAGTTGTTGTGGAAAACCCCACATGGGGAACAAGTTTGATGTGAACACAGATTATAAGGACTAACATCAAAGACAAGAACAATGCTGGAAATAGACTTGGAGTCGTGCCACAGGAGACGATGCTCGGCTCAGCTCACCAAAGCGCAGGAGTAATCATTAAAACCTGAGTACACAAACAGCTTATTCAGCTCCACAATTTATTGCCCAGATCACTGGAGCATTGTCAGAATTTCACCCCGGCTATATGTAGTCCTGCGCCACGTTGGGAATGTATGCACGTCTGCGCCTGACATTTCTGTCCACCCCCGTTCCAGGCTCGGGAATCTACTGTGACACCTCCATCGACGGCATTGGCACCTGCTGGCCCAGGAGCAGCGCCGGCCAGATGGTGTCACGACCCTGTCCGGAGATGTTTTACGGCGTCAGATACAACACCACGAGTAAGTCCGCACGCCGTCAGCTCCTGCCAAACAAAAACCAGACACAATAGATTAAAAACAAGATTTAATTTGATCCCCCCCTCCTCCCACCCATCTTCCACCCTCCGCTCAACTTCCCCTCGGGCAAATCCTGTTTACGTAATTGTGTATACAGAAATTAGCATGAGCATACAAATTAGCGAGAGACACAAAAAAGTGTAAAACGGAAAAACAAACACGTGTACACAAAATAGGACTACTGCAGATAATGAAGCATGAAGTGCCAAAAGAAAGGGAGTTCAAAACAAGCTCCTGCTATGAAAATGGTGTTTGTATCACCGATTAAATGGTAGAAATGATAAGATAATATCATAAAATGGCACTCAAACCGCTGTTGTGTGAAATGCTTAAGTCTATTTCCTATATGGGGTCTCTTCTGTTGATTGTTTTCTTTGTTTTGTGTGTTGAAAAATGAAATAAATGTTAAAAAATTCCATATTACAGCAGCTCACATTCGGATGGCCCAGACTGTGCTGATAAAAATGAAATTATCCGCTTGCTTGTAAACTAAATGTAATGTGTCATACAGTTTCTTTATATTATAAGAGTTTTGAGGCAGCAGTGGGGGGATTAAAATGATGGAAACACTGTTAGACATTGGACGCTGGAGAAAAATGTCATTACCAGTCTTCATACTTAATTTATTTCCAGTAAAGTCCACACTTTGAAGCAGGATCTGGGGCTTAGACTCACACTGCTTCACCTCCATTTATGTGTAGAGCCTCTGTGTATGTTTCAGATTCTTCAGTAGGGCTTTTTTTTTTTTTTTTGTAAAAGTAATAAAGTGGTTCAGGTTTCTGCTCCGGTGCCGAACTATTGCTGAACTCGTTAAATTGCTGCAAACAGATCTGCTCTGTAAATGACATCTCATGCTCTGTTGTAGGAGAAAATCTACTCCCAAAAAGGCAAAATAAATGTTTTATACGTGGGGCACGGCTCGGTGTCTGCTGATCGGTCCACCACTTTGGTCCAGGCCGAGCGTCAACGGTGACGGCTTAAAACTGAAGCTGTTGCAGAAGCACCTCAAAGTGCACGACTAGATATCAACAGACTAAAAGCTTAAAAGCATTTCTGTTTGTTGGACTCCCAGCGTGCTGCACAACAGGTATGAGTCCCTATTGATGACAGAAGAGGCAACAAACTACTGTTGTGCTGTTTACACACTCCCTACTAAATACTTGCGGTGCTCTAACGACGCACAACTATGCCATATTTGATTCAGAATGGGCCGATGGTATTTCAAAATACAGTGGGTGTTTGCAACCAAGAAGAGAAAACGTTGAATTCAATTAGGCTAAAAGCAGCGCTGGTAGTGAGATACACTGTAGGGAAAGCTGTCGCAGTTTCCTTAGAGAGTAAAAAAATCTCTGGAATACGGCTGCAGCAGCTGATGACGACAAAATAAGGCAGAAGTAACACGGTCAGATGACTTCAGTGATGTGGAAACGGTCCAGTTTAGCAAAGTCAAATGTTGAACCAGCTGAGAGTCAAACAGCAGGGAAACGGGGCTGATCTGTATGACTGGAAATACCACCATTCTTGATACCAAATGAAATAAACAAAATAGCTATAATCAAATGATAGTATTTCAACATTTACTCTTCTATTTAAAAAAACAAGCCGAAGATAGTAATGTTAGCAGGAGCATCCAGTTCATGTTTTGAGCTATTGGCTACATCAGTCGAAACATCATGTTAGCGTTGGCTTCAGTCTAAACAAGATCATTTTAGCCTGTACGTTAGTTTAACCAAGATTTTTTTGTCACAATTTTAGCCCAACAAGGAAATGTTAACCTAAAAACGATAGCGTTAGCTGCTCGCTAGCCTTAACAATTTAAGCCACTACATAAGCCCAAACAAGATAATGTTACCCCCAATGTTAGCCTAAACAAAATGTTAGCCCATTCCTTAGTTTGAGCTAGCTTATGTCTGCCTCTATGTCATCCTGAAAATGATAATGTTGGCTACTGCATTAGCTTAAACAAGATAATGTAAGCCCCAGTGTTAGCCTAAACAAGATGTTAGCTCATTCCTTAGTTTAAACTTGTTTATGTTTGCCTCGGTGTCAGCCTGAACATGACAATGTTAGCCGCTGCGTTAGCTTAAACAAGATAATGTTTGCCACTACCTTAGCCTAAACAAGACAATATGTCTTGCTACTTTAATCTAAACAAGATATTACCCCCTAAGGTAGCCTTAAAAAGATAATGTTACTACATTAATCTAAACGAGATAACGTTAGCCTCTAAGTTAGCCTAAACAAGATAATGTTTGCCATTTTGTTAGTCTAAACAAGGTCACGCTAACTGCCACATCAACCCAAAAAGGATAACAATAGTCGCTTTATTAGCCTTAAGACGTTACGGTACAACATAAGCCTAAACAAGATAACGTCAGCCCCTTTGTTAGCCTAAACAAGATAATGTTACTTGCTACATTAATCTAAACGAGATAACGTTAGCCTCTACGTTAGCCTAAACAAGATAATGTTTGCCACTTTGTTAGCCTAAACAAGGTCATGCTAATTGCCACATCAACCCAAAAAGGATAACAATAGCCGCTTTATTGGTCTTAAGACATCAAGGTACTACATAAGCCTAAACGAGATAACGTCAGCCCCTTTGTTAGCCGAAACAAGATTATGTTACTTGGTACATTAATCTAATCAAGATTACATTACAGAAACACTATAATGTTTTCCCCTTCGTTAGCCTAAACAAGAAAATGTTACTTACTAGATTAATCTAAACAAAATAATATTATCCTCGAACTCCCCTTTTTCTTGAATTGCTCTATGACAACATTTGCATTCAGGCTTTTGGTCGTATATAATTTGGGCTACTGGATCATCAAACTCAAATCATAGTATCTCAATACAGGACTCTTAGTGTGTCAGGTATTGTCAGGTATCAACACCTTGGGTCCTGTAGAAGAACAGCTTCTATCAAACTGTTGACAGCAACTTGATACCAAAGCATCAGTTCTTGTGACATCCTGACTTTCTATTGTCACCTTGCATGACAAGACAATGTCATACGTTGTCATTTTAAGCCTGGATTTAGTGTGATGCTGACATCAATCGATCCCAGGTATGCACCATCCATCCTCAAATATGTCCAGTTGTAGCATCGCCCCTGTTTGTAGTGGGATCTGTTGTTGTCGCACAGCTGCTTCTGGGGATTTCTGTTCAGTGTTTACAGCATGTAAAAGGACGACAGCCTGAGGGAAAAGAGAGAAATCACTACGAGACACCTGAAAACATGCAGATATATAACCTAATTTTATAACTTTTTATAATTTAAAATGCATTTTTGATGATTAAAATAAGCACAAGATGAGCGTTAATATGGGATTTAAAATTATGCGCTGTGGTCGTTTGAAGCGTTTTCAGCAAAATGGCGCATAATTTAGTTTTAATGACAATATTTGCACAATGCTGATGAGCGCGAGTCATATATACACACAAGTTCTGTGTACACAAAATTTCTCAACGGCCTTCCTGGCAGTGATCCTTATCAAATCTGGATCTGGTCCGTGATGCGTATCTATGTAGGACACTGCAGCACTCTGAAGGTAACACAGACGCCACCGACAGACGCACAGTGAGCACAATTACCTTAATTTATGAGACGAAAGCCGACGCGTTTCTTGGTTGAATTAAAGTCTAAACCCACCACAGGACCCCCGAGGAGCCACTTGAGAGAGACAAAGTGAGCCGAGGCTGTAATTCAGCGGCAGCTCGGCTGTAATTTGACTCTGCGAGGTTCATTTCACCTTTAGGATTAACATAATCTCCATTCAAGCATAGCCTAAAAGCCTTAAAAAAGACTGTCCATCAGCTGACTGTGCCAGCGAAGGTCAGCGGCTGAGCGAGTGTTTGCGGATGAAGCTGAAAGCTGGTGGGGATGCAGGATGATGCCATGACAATAGAACAAAGCCTGCTTTAAATTTAAGGTGTATTTTTGGCATCAATTCATTATTAATGGTTTTTTTAATGTCAGATGAATGAAACACCTGATCTGTCGGGCGTCATCTCATGATCTAAGCCGTGTGTTTTCTCTGCGCAAAACGTCGTTGGGTTCATAGACAAAAGAACACTTCGACCTTACAGACTTTTGTTAGGCGTCCGTTAATGACGCGCTAATTCTCCATTCTCGTTCGAGGACTCTTGGAGCTGAATGTGGTGTCTTGTTGTGATGCCGTAACATCGAGGACACGTGACGCGAACTCAAGGCTGCAAGATGTTATTCATAAAGAAAATCATATTGGATGTGAAGAAGCCTGTTGATCAGCAGTGCAGAAGCCACACACGGCATTGTTTTAATGTAAAACGCTGCAAAAATCCTCGCATTCCCATCAGCTACAGCTGCACGACATTATACCTGCTCCGGAAACACATTTCCTGCGTTCTGCACCAATTTATGCAGCAATTTGTGGCTTTTCTGCATCCGTTTATGATGGAAATGTCTTTTTTATGTACAGAAAAACACAAAAATTCAGGCAGCAGGTAGCAATTTACAGTATAATGGACTATAATGCTGTAAAGCTCGCAGGCATTCTGTGTTGTTTTCAAAGATTTATTCTCCTGTAGCTCAGATTTTTTATTTTTATGCCATTATTTTAACTGGAGGGAACAGACACATGTCACTTTCAGCAATATTAGTGATCATACTTGGACTGTTTAAAAAAGAAAAAAAATTGGAATCAGCCTGCTCTGAATCAAATTTGACAAATTAAATGTCATTGAAAAGCACAAAGCCTCACAAACACTTTGTCATGATATAAATAAAACAGTTCTTGCTTTGTATTATAAGTGTGTAAACACAGCAAACTAGTGGTTTCGTCTGCAGTGACACAGCTAACGACATTTTTGTACAGTTTGTCAAGTAAATGCTACGGGGTCAGAAGTTCAATTAAGATGTGTGATGGTTTAAATGTAGCTTGGTGCTGGTTTAGCAGTTA